CTAGCCCCAGGGGCCTACTCCACGCTTTGCAACCTGGTGCAGGGCGATCTAGTGCCGTGCAGGTTTGGCTCCTCCCCCAAAGGCCACACTCATTTGGCCCAGAGGCTCTTCATCACAACAGAGGAGAGGGAGCACGTGGCCAAACCGCAGGTCCTGGGGCAAACTGCAGGTAAGTAAATGTGGAGTAAGAGAGACCCCTTCTTCCAGCCCAAAGTCTGCAAGTAACCCTCCTGCCAGAGACAAGTCTGGCAAGGAGTACAGAGGAGCAGAGCTGGGTAGTTCTCCCCCTCCCCCCAAAAAAAGCTTATACTTTGAAAGTTTCCTTGCCACGGATCGGGATAAAAGTCAGTCTCTCAAACTTGCATATAAAAAAAATCCAAAGAAGCTCAGTTGGGGTTAATCAGGTTTCTCTTAGAGAACTTTTTTTTAAAAAGAAAAAAAATACCGGTTTTGATCCTTTCACAAGCTCATAATTTTTGTTTGGCTGTAAATTAGCTTCCCATTCTGACCACAAAGCCATTTGGAATGAGAAAGTTGGATTTTATTTTTCATTTCAAAAGCAGCAGAATAAGAGACTATGCGGTATCATGTGGCACCTTGAAGACCAACAGATTGATTTGAGCATAAGCTTTCGTGGCCAAAACCTCACTTTTAAAGAAGGTCCCTCAGAACAGACCCTTCCCTGCAGGACAGTCCAGTCTGGACAAACCTGCAGGGTGCTGAAAGAGGCGCCATTAAAAAAAAATAAAAATCAATTCTATCGACAAGTTTGTCAGCAGCGCCTCCTCGCCCTCCAGCCACGTTTACTGCTGGCTGCTTCGCAGCAGAGGGGCAGTTTTGTTTCTCTCATTAAGACTGCCCACACGAAGGTGGAAGAAAAACATCCCCTCTATTACTAATGGGGAACGGTTCCTCTTTTGTTAGTGGCTGCTAATTACAGGGCTTGGTCTCTCTCCAGTTGTGCTTTAGCGTTTGGCTGGCAAGCAATGAAGGGAAAGTGGTAAAAAGCTAAGTAAGGTAGAATCAGAGAAAACTAGGACTGGAAGGGACCTCGAGAGGTCATCAAATCCAGTCCCCTGCCCTCATGGCAGGACCAAATACTGTCTAGACCATCCCTGATAGACATTTATCTAACCTGCTCTTAAATATCTCCAAAGATGGGGATTCCACAACCTCCCTGGGCAATTTATTCCAGTGTTTGACCACCCTGACAGTTTAGGAAAAAGTTCCTAATGTCCAACCTAAAACCTCCCTTGCTGCAGTTTAAGCCCATTGCTTCTTGTTCTGTCCTCAGAGGCCAAGATGAACAAGTTTTCTCCCTCCTCCTTATGACACCCTTTTAGAACCTGAAAACGGCTATCCTGTCCCCCCTCAGTCTTCTCTTTTCTAAACTAAACAAACCCAATTCCTTCAGTCTTCCCTCATAGGTCATGTTCTCTAGACCTTTCATCATTCTTGTTGCTCTTCTCTGGATGCATGTGCATGAGGAACACCAGGCTGACAGGCCTACAAATGCAGGCTAATTCAGAGTGGGCCTCGACATGCAATCCTGGATCCAAAGTCTGCAGCTCCAACAGCCCGTTGCCCAGAAGGCAAGCTGACTAGCTCTATTCGTTGGGGATCTCCCAAGCAGAGAGGGACCCCGAACCCCTCATCTCTGAAGTAGGCCTGGCTGACCGGACTGGGGGGAACACTGCCTACCGCCCGCTGTGGCCACCACCCTGGCCACCACCACCACCACGTATCCACCAGGGCTGGAAATTCTTCCCGGTGGGTCTGGCACAGGACGCTGGTAACAAGCTGTCCGAGCATGACAGTGAGTCTTGACAGCAGACAGCAACGCACCTGCCTGGCCAGCTTGCTCCTCTTTCACTTCCCCTTGGCTTAGGGCACAGAGTGAAGCCAGGGAACAGAGGGCCTTTGTCTGTGGGGCAGGACACGAACAGTGCTGGGTGGGGAAGGACATCCAGGGTGGGGGGTGCCTGATGGCCTCTGCCCTGGAGGGCTGCTTAAGGAGCCCTCCTGCACAGCCAAATCCAGCCTGGCCCCACAAGGAAAGGGGGGGGCTGGGCCCCTGCCAGGTCTCCACTCCAACCTGCGAGGGAACTAAGCTCTGCCTAGCAGGGACCTGGCGGAGCATGAAGGGGGGAGCTGGGATGGAAATTTTTGAAGCAGCAGCTAATTTCTGCTGAGTCAAGTGGCGGGAGGAGGAGGAGCCGCTCTGAGCCCCTCTATTCCCGGCATTTATCACAGGCCAGTACACCGAGACACCAGGGAGGATTAACAGGGCTGAAATCCAACCCACAGCATCTTAAAGGGAAAGGGGCCTGTTTGTTCAGCTGAGCGAGTTGCTGAGACAGGCTGGAGGGGAAGCCTGGCAGACAGACCGACCGACCGAAGCTCTCACGTGTGACCAGGAGCAAGTGCACGAGGGACTGAGCACAGACCTGGGGGAATTGGGGAGACTGAATCCCAGCTCCAGCACCCATTTGCTGTGAGACCTGGGTGGGCAAAGTCCTTTCATTAGGTGCATGATGGTAGTGCCTAGAGCCCCCCCAGAGACAGGCCTCACCTGAGCGCAGAGTCTAAATAATAATGGATGGAAGGGAGGAAAAGCCACAGGCAAGAGAAGTAACTTGCCCAGAATTACACAGCAAGGCATTGGCAGAGCGGGGAACACAGCCCAGTTCACCTGGCTCCCCGGCCAGTTCCTTATCGGTTAGGCCTCTCCTCCTACCATCTTCTGGAAGTGGAACAAATGGCTGAATCCTGTGTGTGACTCCCCCGCCTGCCCAGGAGAGAAGAGGTTTCTGTTGATGGAAATAGCTAGGCATGCCGTCGCCGAGGAAAATCAAACATTTAGCATCTCAACAGCACGTCTGGGGAATTTCAGGACTCCTGGGGGCGGGTGTGAACCTCGCTCCCGACACAAGGGTGCTATTTGCAGCCACGTGGGAGTCAGGCCTACGAAGAGGCAGGCAAGCGTGAGAAACATATGGGAGCACTCCTGAAGTTTCAACTGGAAGCTCTTTGGGGCAGAGAAATAAGGTGCAGCACCAGGCTCATGTCTCTGGCCTGGTGTTCTCTAATGTGAACATGTTACAACAGGTGTATTTCTCTCACTTTCACCCTCCCCCCTGTGTGGAGTAGACACACACACACACACACGTACGTGTAGTCATATAACTTGCTGCACTGCAGATACTCCTGTGATGGGCACAGTATAAAATCCTTTGCAGAATAAAACAGGCACAGCACCTGGCTTGCTGATGGCTCTCTAGACCAGTGTTTCTTAAACTGTGTTCTGCGGCACACTGGTATGCTGCAAGGCAGTTGGAGGTGTGCCATGGACTACAATAGAGTTCAAAATGGCCACCCTTAAGGGGCATGCGACTTTTTGGGGGGGGGGGGGTCAACTTGCTCCGACCACTCGTCACAAAAAAAAAAGTTGTTTGGTATTCCTTGGTCTTAAAAAGTTTAAGAAACACTGCTCTAGAGGGCTTGATAAGAACTACCGTGCGGCTAGAGGGCGTGGTGCTGTTAGAGGTGGCTACTTGTGTGAGAGGCAAGAAATGGGTCCTGAGCACCAGGGGTCATTAAGGATTGAGCAAGGCTTACAAGGAAGGGGCTGGGCTATCTATAGCAGAGGTCCCCCCACAGTGGGGAGCGTAGCAAATTTTTGGGGGGGTGCAGTGGGGCCTTGGCCAGCCCCTACCAGGGCACCACATAGCCCCACTCTGCTTCCAGCTCTGTTCCCACCCGGCCCCGACTCCCAGCCCCTTCTGTGGACTGGCCACGGCTGCGCACGTGGCTGCAATCCCAGCCCCACTCCCAGCTGCAGCCCCCTTATCTCGGTCTCCCTTCTGGCCCCTCTCCCAGCCCCGACCCTGAAACGTTCAGGGGTAACCGATCTATAGCCAAGCAGGATTATGTTCTGCCTCCCAAGATGGCCGCCTCACACTAGCTGAGAGAAGCACAGCGCGCTTTGCTCCCTGGCCCGCAGCGCTGGTGGGTACCAATGAGACGCCTGCACTGTAGGGATGCCATGACGTGAATCCCAGGGTGGGACTAAATGGCAGGGCTGTAAAACACTTCGAGGCTCGTGACAGGCACATAAGCGGCTACCGAAGCAGCTAATTCAGTGACAAAAGTAGAACGATTCTCCGCTTGCCTTTCCAGTCCTCCCGGCAGCCGCCAGTCACCCCAGCTCCCCCCCCCAAGACTAAGGGCCACCACACTCTGCCGGGGCACCGAGACAGCTTGGGGGGGGGTGGTGAATGACAGGAATGTGGCCGTTTTACGACTGGCTTGGGTCATTTAGTCACCCCTTTGGGGTAGAAAATAGTAAAACCACAGCAAGCGACTTGCCTTTAGCAAGCACTATCCTAGCTGGTTCTCACACTGTTGAGTACTGAAAACACTTTGTAACACGTTCACCGTAATTAGAGCCAGATGGCAACAGCTTTAGCGTCAGCCCTGAGGCTCCTCATAGGCAGCCATGCCAGTAGGCTTAGCACAAGGCCTTTCTGCTAGGCCGCGCCTACGGGGCTGGGTTTCCAAGCAAGTCTCCCCTGCCCGTTTGACATGGAAAGAGCAGAGACACAAAGAAACCTGGAGTCCCCCACGGTGGCATTTCCTAAGGGAATTGCTTTTCCGGGTTGGCCTGCGCTTGGGGAAGGAACAAGCCTGATCTTGCTCGTATTGCTAGTAACACCACGGCGTTCCCCCCTCGCCAGAGGCAGGGGACAGGGAAATGCTCAAGGTCCAATCTCGGGCGGAGGCCGCGAGGTCTGCACTTACCATTGTTGCAATGCCGCACGCAGTCCTGGAACACCGCTCGCCACTTGTCCTGCTCCTTCCCGGTCATCACGCAGAAGTAGTAGTGGCGGGAGTACGGGTGCCAAAGGATGAGAGGAAACTGGGTGGGACACTTGAGGATCGGGGCATTGCTGGATTTGGGGGCAGTTCCTGAGGGAAGAAGAAAAAGACACTGCACTTACCATTGTTGCAATGCCGCACGCAGTCCTGGAACACCGCTCGCCACTTGTCCTGCTCCTTCCCGGTCATCACGCAGAAGTAGTAGTGGCGGGAGTACGGGTGCCAAAGGATGAGAGGAAACTGGGTGGGACACTTGAGGATCGGGGCATTGCTGGATTTGGGGGCAGTTCCTGAGGGAAGAAGAAAAAGACACTGAATTCTGGGCACATGCTAGGAGCCCACGGCTCTGGATCCACAGGCCAGGCATGGCAGAAAGGGGCTCGACTGAACGCCACGGAGATCGACCGCCTCCAAGAGCCCAGCTGCAGAGCGGCTTCCTGCACTGCCCAGCTACGGGGCTCAATGCAGACCACCACACGGGATGCCCCGGAAGGCTAGTCTCCAGGGGCCATTCAAGCCAAGAAATCAAGTAGCTGGCCCTAGAGAGCCGAAGCTAAAAGTTACTCCTTGCACTCCTAGAAGGAAGCAGACTCTGCCGGGCAGGGATGCTGGAGAAATAATCCCAACCGTGTTCTCAAGGTGTGGAGCCAGGGAGCAGTGCTTGTGCGGGAGCGTGTCCCATGGCAAGCCAACAAGTGTTCATATCTCCATGGCGCAGGAAGGGGCACCAGCTGTCTTCACGCCTCCCTCCCTCGTCTCCTTCCTATTTCCTTTGGAGCCACCTCTTCCGCACCTCTGCGCCTTCCAGTGGAGAGCACTGAAGCCAGGAGAGCTCGGAAGAGACAAAAGGGGACCTAGATGGCATGTGGCCATGCCTGCCTCCAGCTGCTGGTCCTATGGATGCTGCTGATCCTAAGCATTCTGGGAGAGCAGCCGAAGGGACACACATGTAAGCCAGCCTGGAATACATCCCCCTGTTCTAGTCCCCCCTCATCCTTTGCCCTTGGACATTCAGAGCACCGGAGAGAGGAGACCGTCAAGCGGCCCAGGGTGGACTTACCTGGCAAGCTGCTATTGACAAGGTCAAGATACTGGTCCAGGGAGGTGAGGATTTTGTAGCCAGCGCTGTTGAGGGCTACTCGAGGCTGAATCCCTCGGTCATAGGCCTAGAGAGGAAGGAGAGTGTGAGAGCAGTCCCCAAAGCCACTCAAACCAGGATCTCTGACAAGCCCATGTCTGCAAACCCCTGGTAAGCAAGTTCAATGCCTTGCTCCTCTCCCTTGGTTTTGGCAGGGGTTAATATACTATACTGCCCATATAGATCAGGGTGGGCAATAATTTTTGATGGGGGGAGGGGAAGGGGACGACGGATTCCCGGATTTTGGTAACTGGTCTAGGGCCGCACGTTTCTATGGAGCGCGGGCGGGGGACGACGGATTCCCGGGTTTTGGTAACTGATCTAGGGCCGCACGTTTCTATGGAGCGCGGGGTCTGGGATGGAGGGGACGGTCCTTCAATTGGTGCAGCAGCCAAAGGAAGCAGAGAGGAAGTTCAAAGCTTCCCTTTAGCGCCCTAGCTCTGTAACTCCAGCCTGGTACCTTGATCCTGGAGATACCGGCCGTTCTCCCAGCGGCCTTGCTGCAATGCACGGAGCGCACTGGCTAAGTGTCACTCTTGGGCAAGCACCGTTTGCGCAGCTGTGGGAGGCTCCTCAAAAGGAGCAGAGCTGCTGTGGGGGGACTTTCCCTGGGCCGAACACCGCCCCCCCCCCAGCAAAGCAGAGAGAGGGAAGAGGGGAGGGGCGAGGGCCTCACCAGTGTGTTCTCATACAGCACCAGGCCGTAGTTGTGCGGCACGACGCAGAAGCGGTTTCGCCACTTCTTGTTTTCCTCCACGTACTGGAAGAGGTTCCCCGAGAGGATGATGCGGTCCTCCAGAGGGACCTGCACAGAGCAGAGACATGGAACAGTGAGTGGAGGAGGAAGGAGAATTTAGGCTGCACCAGAGAAACAAATTCAGGGGAGCCAAACCCCACCCACTAGCTGGGGCACTGGCCTCTGACAGCTATGCCACAAACTGCTTCGTTCTTGCCCCACGTGGGGTTTTCTATTGGTAGCTCAAGAGCTAGGTCCGTATGAGCCTCATTTTTTAGAGGCAGGGAAGTAGAGGCAAAGTGACTTGCCCATGTTTACAGAGCAGGTCTGTGGCAGAGCTAGGATTAGGGATGTTAAATTGAGTTTAATCAACGAATCGACTAGTTGATGGATTTTCCATCGACTAGTCGATACGCAGGGGAGCTTGTTGGCTCTTAATACGTTTAAAAGGCTAAAGCACAGCAGGAGGGACCCAGCGTGAGCCAGGACAGCTGATTCCCAGCTCATGCTGGGTCCCGCCCCGCCCCCACTGCGCTTCTGATTTTTAAATGTATTAAGAGCTGGCTGGCACTCTGATTCCCGGCTTGCGCCCAGTCCCCGTTACTCCCCTGCCCCTCACAGAGATGGTGCTGGGGAGAACCTGCTTTTAAGCCGGCTTCCCCCAGCACCAGCTCCTGCTCCCCTGCCCCATTGCTATCTCTGATAGAGGCGGCAAGGCGGGAGGGGGGAAGGGGGAGGAGCGACTAGTCGAGGGACTAGTCGCTTATGTCCCTAGCTAGGATTAAAACCCAGTTCTCTTAGTTGCTTATGTCCCTAGCTAGGATTAAAACCCAGTTCTCTTGGCTTTCTTTGGAGAATTACTCCAAAGTGGGTGCTAATGAACACATTACGCATCACACTTGCCTTCAGAATCCTCATTGGCCAGAATTCCCCTTCGCCCTCCAGAAAAGCACACACCTGTATCACAGCAGCACCTAGACCCCAGTGCAGAGCATAGATTATTGTGCAGACCTGGTGTACAGCAAGGGACTGGTCCTAGATGATCTACAAACCCCTAACTGCCAACCAACAAAGGCATTACAGGAATATCCTGATTCGAGTGCATGCGCTCTGGTTCACCAAAGAAAGTCATGGGAGGTTTTCTATGAAAGACGGGGTCACATGGGTTATTGGTTTCATTGTGAACTGTAGAGAGAGATCCTATGCGAGGTAGGGTGTGTGCGCGCGCCTGTCCTATGCAAGGAGGGGGCGTGAGAATATTGCAAATATGTTCTTAGGTTATCATCACAGCAGAGGTGGCAAAACCAGTTTTCTGCAAGAGACAAGAGATTTCCTTAGACATAAATTAAACATCGTGAACTAGCACGGTGGATGCTCATTTCTATATGAAAGTTTTGAAGCTAGCAAAGCAGCAGCACAGAGGCAAGCCAAGCCGGGGGTGTTATACTGTCTGAGTACAAACAGTGAGCTTGGTGGGGGAGAGCAGATAAAGACAGCATCCTACACCTGGGAAATGCCGTTTCATTCATGAAAACAGGATCTCCAGCAGCTTGGCCGAAGATGCTGCAGCACCCTTAGGCAGAGATAAAATCATAGCGTGCTTTCTAGAAACTGAACTTGACTAATAAGCTTCTTTAGACGAGAATATGTTTGATGTAAAACCCTTGGTTTCCATTCTCCTTACTCATCTCCTGATGCTTCGTCTTTGATGATAACTCTGTGGCTTTCACTAGATCTCAGTGCAGTGATCTTAAGCAAGGTGCCGATTCGGAGTGGAACCACACAAGCGAGGGTGGGGAGTGTTCCTTTGGGGACCCCAGGCCTGGTGTTTGTGCGTGTGGTTGGTGGATAAGGAGTGATCACTGTAGGGGAACACTTCCAAGGGTCTTGGGGACCGGGCTGCACTGATTGCTGAGCTGCAAGGCAAAGCGAGGGCTGGCAGATCACGCAGGACGATGCTTGCATGGCTAACAGGCGCGTGGTATCAGGGAGCAGCCTCCCAGAGAAGCACAAGCAAAACACCCTTACACTAGTGGCAGGGGGAAACAAAACGACTCCCAATTCTGGGTGCCCTGAGAACGGACACACCCTTCCCGGAAGGATTCATCATTTTAAATGCATATGACCAAGTATTGGAGGGGAACAGATCAGGTTAGTGGCCAAGGCCCCAAAGCAGGTCAGCGGCAGGAACAGAAGTCAGGGCATCCTTGTCTGTACAAAGACCCATCCTTCGGACTCGACGGTCTGTAACTGGCTACGCTTTTGGCCCCTAAAGCTCCTGTGTGTTAGAACTTGCTGTGGGATCCCAAACACAGGCTTGCCAATGGGCCGAGAGAAGTCACCATTCCAGGGAATTTTTATGACCTTTGGGATATAAACAAGAGCAAAAAAGCCCTTCTTGCAGAACGTCTCTCTCCGGCTTGTAGCCAAGTTGTCAGTGACGACAGTCAGCAACAAGGATCAGGATTTATGAGATACTAGACAGGCCCAAGTGATCTAAACACACAGATTCCCCCTCCCCGCAGCAATACGGGAAACTGAGGCAGGATGAATTGCTCTTCACCACAGAGTTAACCCGCATGTGGACGGGAGCTACGCTGGGGCAATACCCAAAACTCTCTCACTTGAGTTTAGTGGTGCTTTTAACCAGGTTAGCTGGCCTGACTGGCAGGGATGGGTTAGGACCCGGCTCCACTTTCACACTGGCTGGTGGTGGCTCACTCAGGGTACGTCTACACAGCAGTGTTATTTCGAAATAACAGATGTTCTTCTGAAATAACAGTCCACGTCTACACACAAGCAGTTATTTTGACATAATGTGGAAATACTGTCAAGCTGGAGGACTACTTACTCCTGTAGCCCTCACTGTATGAGGAGGAAGGGAAGTCGGAAGAAGAGAAGAAGAGTGCTCTATTTAGAAATTGGGAACGTCTACACAGAACCTAATTCGCAACAAGCTATTTCAACTTAAGCCATGCAATTAGCATAGGTTTGCCAAATGCTTTCAGCAAAAATCCTGAACATGGCAAATAAACAACAACAACAAAAAAAAAATTCATTCGCCCACACCAAACATGGCAGGGGGAAGATTGTCCCCACCGGCCTTCCGTCCAAGAGAAAAAAAAATACTGGACATTTTACGTGTCAGTATTTTCTGGGTCCGTCGTCCCCCCCCCTTCCCCTCCAGACAGGGGCCAGAAAAACCGGCCACCTGGCAACCCTATGCGTAGCTCCAGTTGTGTAGCTTATTTTGAGTTTAGCCCTGCTATGTAGAGTACCTGTGCAGCGAGGACTCAGGCTAAGCCATTGAAACATGATGGTCCCCAATGCCTTCCCACAATGCCCCCTCGAGTCCAGAAGGACAGGCAACTCCTCCCACAATTCCCTGGGAAACAAACGGTTCAGTTTCCTGCAGCACACAGCACCCCTAGTGCCACATGGGGAAGCACAGAGGCAGCGAGGGTGCAGTAGCCGATACCATTTTGCAGTGGCCTGGACTAGGCTCACTCAGATGCCGATCCCCAGGTTACCCCTGCAGGGAGGGCACACCCTTAGGGCATGTCTGCACTGCAATGGAAGCCCAGGGTGAGACGAAAGTGAGTTGCAGACCCTGGTGCTTGTTAACCTAGGGCTTGAGCATCCACCCTCATTCGTAACCCCAACTGAGGGAGCACTGAACCCAGGTCCCAGTACCTGCACTGTACTGTGCAGGCCTAAGTCCAGTCATCCACACCCCAGGCTTCTTAGCACCCACCCAAAATGTGGCCGCTTCAGCCCTTCGTTCGTGGTGCAGCGTGGGAAAACTGGACTGTCCAGAGGACAAAACGCTGGCCCATGTGACTGTGGGATGCTTCTGGCAGACTCCCAGTCCAATGGGGCTGCATGCACACTGAAAATCAACAGGGCTTGACTCCTGGGTACCGGCTTGACTCAAGTATCGGACCCCCATGCGGTCCTGGGACCCCGAGTCCAAGCCCTGGGCTAGAGCAACGTGTGTGTAGTGGAAAGGGGGGTCAGGCTTGTGATCAGTTAAAACGCTGCAGTGTTGACAAACCCTCTGCGACTTGTCCAGTGACCATTGTTGAACCGGGGCCACCAAAGTCCCAAGCTGGCAGCCCTAACCACAGGCTCACGAGCCAGATGCAGAGGCTGTTAAAAAGTAACACCAACTAGGATGCTACTACTGGTAGCAACCCCTTTCCCACTCCCCGCTTCCCAGTTTTAAATAGAGTCACAAAATACCACATCTGCCACCCATTTTTTCTGAAAGAAACTTTTAAAAAACTTTCTTGTAGGCGTGTCTCACGCCACTGGGACCAAACAGGGAAAACGGACTGGCACAATATTTATAGGGCAAAATAGATCAGCCTCCACAAAGACAAAGAAGTGTCTCTCTCCTCTTTCAGTTCCAGTATCCTGGGTCTTGCCTCTATTGATAGTAGGTATAAAATTTCAGATCAAAAGCATAACGGTTAAGTTGACTGTGCTCCTTAAGAGACTTGCCTGTAGTCACACAGCTAGACCACGGCGACGCCATAAAAGGAACCTAGCTGTCCTGTTTCCTTGTCCACAAGCTTGCTCCAGTAATCAACATTCCTGCTAAGTCATTAACCTGGGTTTTGTAGCAACAACAAACAGAACTGACTAAGTCAGTTAAAAAATGTATCATGCAGTTCGGCCACTTTTCCCAGGCACTTGGAAGAAAAGCGTAATTAGAAAATACAGTGAAAAGAGGGGACCAATTCAAATAGGCGGGTAGCAAGAATAAATTTAAATTAATGGAGATTGCCTATCTCCTAGAAATGGAAGGAAAGGTCATTGAGTCCAGTCCCCTGCCTTCACAGCAGAACCAAGTACCACCCCTGACAAATTTTTGCCCCAAATCCCTAAATGGCCTCCACAAGGATTGAACTCACAACCCTGGATTTAGCAGGCCAATGCTCAAACCACTGGGCTCTCTCTCCCCTCAACCATTACACAAGCGAATGGTGAGCTAATCACAAGGCAGAAGGCAAACAAGTGGGGTTTAGACAGTAACAAGGATTAAAAGTCCGGGGGGGAGGGGGGAG